GGGGGGGGGGGGCGGGGTATTACAGGTTAATATAACAAATGACCAAACACAGTTATACTTCTAATTCAGCACACCAGATCTCTGTTTGCAAACCTAAATGTATTAAAGCAATAAAATAAACCAATGATATTTTGCTTTTCATATTTATTCTGCATCCAGACGTGTATATGAGTGTTTCTTTTTTATGTTTAACAATCTAAGAAGTTTGCAGCCATCAGAAGCTCCAGCGCTATCTCTGGGGCAATAGGAAATTCTGGGATCTCTGTTGAACTATTAGTATAGCGGACTTTATATGTAAAGTACATGCACACTTTAGAAAGAACGTGAGATGGGATCTCTCGAAAGTTGACCTCATTTGTTTCATTCTCAGCAAACTGGCCTGAAAAAGACAAAGCTATGTTACTAGCACGTTAATGCTTTATTAATATTAACACAAAAAAAAAAAATTACACACAATACGTAAAACATCAAATTTAAAGAAATACAGAGAATGTGGAATAACTACTGTTGGGCAAAAGTCAGTAAGGATCCTACAGTAGAAGGAAAACAATAATAAAAAAATACATAATACTAAATAAACAATGCAGCACTTATCATTTAAAATCTAAGAAAATAGTGATAGATGTCATTTAAATTAACGTAATCCACTGTTATTAATTTCTTTTTCAACAAATACTCACCAGGTCCACTAAGCATAGCTTTGATTGTTCCAGACGTCAGAGCATGTTCTCTCTTCACGATAAACTCATGGCCATCAGAGGAGATCAATTTCACATACATGGCATCTGGCCCTTCACATCCACCATAGGTTTTTTCTTCTCCATCTAAAATGTATTAATTTGATCATACGCTCAAGCCAACAACATAATATCGTGCAGGGAAAAAAAACAGTATTTACATCCTTTAATCTAAGAAATGGATTTTAAAAGTACCACATGGTTTATTCTCCCAATAACACAAACTCACTAGGTCCAGGATAAGTACTTTATTAATTTGTTTACAAAAACTTAAAATATCTTACCCATTTTTACCACCTTCCCTTGTCAGTCTCTGAAATATTAAAAAGAAAAACACAGGTTTAAATTAACAGAAATTAACCCCACAAAAAAATATAATGCAACGTTAGTAACAGCATATACAGATGTTCATGAAAATGCTTGCCAAGAACCAAATATCTATGTAATCTACTTTATATTGAAAAATAACGGTTATTTATATTGACATTTGGCACAAAAATAAAACAGGTCCACTAGTCCTGTGAAAGTCTGGGCCATGCATGCACTACAATAAATCATAGGCAATGAGTTAACTTGTCAGTTAGCTCAAGCACAGCGTACAAATCGTATTTTTCCATAAATATTCCAGTAGACAGCATTCACACGAATCAAGATTAAACAGTCATAATTAAATACACGATATAATGTCTCACCTAACTAAGATCGAGCTGGTCAGGGAAAAATTTTTCGATAAGCTTCTGGCTACTGCTTCTTCTGTTGTCACTGCCGACAACAGGAAACAATTGTTCGGCAGAGAATCGATGCCCTTCCGTTATAGATATTACAAAATAAGAGTCGTCCTCAATATGTGTTAATAATTAATAACACATAAGAATTGCGTGTTTTCGGTTGAAGTATCTTTCAAGTGTAATGTGTACGATATATACCTCTTCACACCTGTGAGGTTTTTGAGTAGCCCATCTTTAGATGGACTGCATATGTGCTCACAAACCAAATTGCTTCCGGTGTTTAGTGGTCTTGCTGTTGCTGTCTGAGGAAGTGGAAAAACTCCACATGAAAAAATGTATCAGCTTGGGATTCTGCAGGGGTTTCGGCGTCTGTCAAAAACCCAGCAACAGATCATCAGAAACCTCCAAGTTGCTGTTCGTCCGACATTACACAACAATGGGAATATTTGCCACACTCGTGCTCTACTCGTAAGAAGGCAGGAACATTTGCTGCATGAGAACCGAAGGTCATTTTTGAAAGTCCATGCAAAAAAGGTAACGTTACCTAGTAGAAGACTACCGAATATGCCATTTGATGTTAACCTTTCTGTACATTGTACAATTGTTTATGTAGACTGTGTCCATACCGAGATGGCTGACTGGACAAAAAAAAATCAGGTTATTTATTTATGTTTTCATCATTTGAATGAGCAGAGAAGAGTCCAAAAAGATTTGCAGGGTCCAAAAACATAAAATACGTTTAGTATTTTTTTTATTTTGCTTTACATGATTTTATTTATTTATTTTACCCATTTTTATTATCTAAAATAATTGAAAGAAATTGAAATTGTCCTGTCTGTATAAACACATAACAAGAAAATGTAAAAACAAATAAAATGTAAATGTAAGAAAATGTAAATCCACATGTACATCCACATGATCTATTTAGGTGCTATTTTTAAAAAAATGATTCTGACATTATATTTATTGTGCTCGAAAAGCTTAACATTTGCAGCTTTTAAAAATGCACTTTATGTTTCAAAATACAAGTGCATTCATTTTATTCTAAGAAAAAAAAATCAAACAATCTAAAAATTCTAATTTAAAATCTGAAAAAAAAAAAAAAAAATCTACACTTTATTGAGAAGTGTTTTTTTTTTTTCAGAAGTGCTACTCTTAACAGATTTGAATGTTTGTAGGTTCTGACATATTGTGCTGTTAGATGGTATACACCCTTACCAGTCCAGCCCAAAGATGGAGAATTGATCTACACAGGCACCCTGGGAAAAGCTGTCCTTGGTAAATTACCTGGCATATAGAACATACAGCATTTATACTTGTAAAATACCTCTAAAATAATCTAATGAGTTGAATATGCTCTTGTTGTAGGTGTGAAGTTTTTCTCCTACTCCAGCAGCATGTTTAGTCTCTGTGTGATGCCATATGTCCTCATGAAAACAGGCATTGGTGTAAACAGCTTGGCACTGCAGGTGGCGTTTTGTGGCATTATAGGTTTCTTCACATTTATGACACCTGTTCTCCTCCACTTGATCACCAAAGGCTATGTAGTTCGTCTGTACCACAACAAGGAGACAGACATGTACACGGCCATCACTTACAGCGCTCTTCTAGTGGAGAAACGGACTGTGTTCCATCAGAGCCATGTTGTTATCCCCCATGTCAGTCGGATGTTCACCAGTTTTTATGCCAAGAAACACTCGATGCTGGTTAACCCAATGCTTTTTCCACTGCCCCACGACTACAACCACCTCATGGGTTACGACCGGCCCTTCTCTTTTGACACAGATGACTTGAACAAACCAGATAAAAGTTAACTTGTCCGAGCTAAATCTGTCCAGTGTTCGTGGACAACCAAAATGTCTTTTCATCATCATGGACTACTGTAATGTATTAAATATTGGCAGGCTGGCATGTCATCCAGTATAGTTGTGATGCAACAATAAATAAATGAAAATTCATATTTACCATCTGCTCTCCCTCTCTAAATTCCTTGCTTGTTTCATTATTTAATTTTATGGTCTGACTTCTATTTTCTAGTAGTTCCTTATTCTCACATCCAGTGCTATTTATAGGGGGAAATCCAGTGACCTCTCTATCTAAAGGGGAAGTTTCACAGTAATGCAGTGCATTACTCTGACACTTTATAATAATTTCGGACAAGTATTTATTAGTTATTTCAGACAGAGAGATATTTATCTACTAGTTTTATTCACAAAAAATAATTATGATGTTTTTGTATGCTTCAGTTTTTATTTTTTATATCGTGGGATTGCCTTGTATGTCCTCTGTCTTTTCAGAGAGAAGGTTATTCTGCTCCTCAGAGCAAGTTAGCTTTTGGTACAGCTACGAAGGTGAGTTGAATAATATATTTGTTAATTTGCTGTTATACAACACTGATTGCTGAATTATTCTGTTTGATCTATTCAAAGGCTGTATTAGTATTTGACATTTCAGCTTAGAGACTCTGTGGTTCAAATCATTTTCAGCAAAAGAAAGATGTTTTCACAGATGCTTACATAGGGGAATAAGACTATTACTTATAACTAATTTGACAAATAATTGATCATTTAGATTATCACAAAGTCTGTCTTCTTAGAATACGGAGGCCCTAAATGGAAATGGTGATGCAAAAAATATGAGATAGGTGGGGAAATTATATTTAATTGCTTTTGCATTCTCTCACAGGATTATTGCATTCTCACAAAAGCATTGAAATACAGTTTTTCCTCCCACCTTAGTATTTCCAGCACAAATGTTTTGAGAGCGAATGCAAAAGTTTTGTGAGAGAATGTAAAAACATTGAAATATTATTTCCTTCCCATCTCATTTTGCCCCATTACCATGTCCTTTTAGGATTTTACCTCTAAGCTACACATGTGTGCTAAGTTATGCACAATGATTGTTAGAAGGCATTTTTACTATTTCCATGATTCTCTTTGCTCTCTCTTTAATCAGGGCCATTGTATTACTTGTCAGTGACTGGTTCCCCCTGCTCTCAAGAAGTGGCCTGGCACGTTATAACTTATACAGTAATCCCAAGTAAATTGATGGAAATTGAATAGGCATACTTCTGAATAATTACATTAAGTAATGCATATACATTATTAAGGTTCCCACTCTTTTTCAGTGAACATTTTTCAGGACTTCAAAGATTTTTCTAGGACATTTTTTTATTAATTATGGTGAGACTAAAAGACAAGGATCACACCCTAAAGTAATATATTCCTCTCTCCAGAAGTCTTTAAATCGTACAGTATATGGCTATGATTTAACTATAATAAAGCTCTTAATTATACATTACAATAAATTATTTTCAGAACCAATTTAAATACCATAGCAAAAATGTTTCAACTGTTTTGAATATAAAAATAAATTAAAAGTGTTTATTATTAATGGTAATAATAATATTAAAGAAAATAATATATTCGTATGTATCATCCAAATATAATTGGACAAATATAAGTTTTGCTTAATTTAAATAAAAAAGTCAAGTAAAAGTTACATTTTGTCTCATTTTCCAGGACTGGAAAATACATAATCAATTTTCCATGTGGGAAGTGCATACAGTACAATGCATATAGCCCAATCTATGCTTCATGCAACTTTGAATAATGTTTGAGCTTGCTATATTAAAACTGTATAATGCCATTTTTCTTGTTTATATTGCCTTTCTAACTTTGAAACTTTTGTTATTCAGTGTTCACAGTTGCTCGCGCGGGTTATCATGCTCGTGTTTACGTCAAAGGTCAGCTCTGGTTTGAGTACACACAGCCATATGTTCCTTGTGAGGATGTCAAAATCTGTTACATCATCAAAGGAGGTACTACATGAATATGTTTATTGCACTCTATCTTTTGTTGTAGTGATGAGGTTGTGGATATGATAGAGTACTTCCTCGTTTCAGAAACACTGCATGAAACCTGTGTTTTATTTTAAAAGAAAAGGATTTTTGGCTCCTCAGGTGAGATTTCAAGACTAATGCTGTACCCATTTTATTATAAACAAGATTTTATAAGTCGTTCATGTAGCTTTACTAGTATACAGTCGTAATGTAATGGTTGTCTTGATTCCCAGTAAACAAACAAAAAAAAATGTAAATGCAGTGTTGCTTTGGACACAAGCACATGACAAATGAAAATGTAGTCCTTTGGAAGCTATGGAACAAATGTTGTTTTGTTTTCCTTTGCAGGGGGAATATGAGATTTACGTGGATGTGAACATTGTTGATGATGCTGAAAGACTGCTGACATTACGTTTTAACATCACTGTGCAAGTAAAAAGTACTGGTAGCAAAAATGCAATTTTTCGACAGTTGGGAGGGCTGTAGGTAAAGAAAATCCCAGCAAACAGAAGAGAAACTTACTGTTCAAAAGTTTAGGGTCATAGATTTTGTGTGTGTGGTGTGTGATATGGTAGAGAGGTTATATTTTCTATGCAATTTATTTAACATTATCAAGTGATTGTCTCAGTCTGGACTGTTGTGGAGAGTCATAATATGGTTTTAATTGTGAAAGTGTAAATAAATTACATTTAAATGCAAATATCCTCTGAATTTACTGTAAGATTTTATTTTGTGGCCAAACTTCTGTTTACCAGCACTTCTTTGTTCACATACTTCCAGGTACTTAAAGGGAAAAAAACATGGTTCAATCCAAAAGAGAAGTTTTGCAATAATGCAATGCATTGTGTCCTATTGTTATTAGTTTGTGATTTGTTCATATCCCAGCTTTCAGGAAGAAAACCCATTAAAAGAAAGACATTTTGCCACTGTTTCATTAAACAAGAACAGCAATGATGCTTCTGTACCTTTCAGCTTTCCTTTGCTATATTGTGGCATTGTCTTCTATGTCCTCGGCAGAGAAACAATTGGTTTGTTCCTCAGAAAGTGTTAGCATTTGGTACAGCTACAATGGTAAGATCAGTTTTTTTTTCTCCAGCACTTTACATATTCAGTTTAATCGGTTACCTCAGAACCTCAGGTGCCAGCAAAAGATAAGTGAATAAAAACTCAATGGATGTATAGATTTCGCACAGAAATAAGAACAATTC